CAGGACCAGGACCAGGCCCAGGAGAAGGCGCGGGACGAGGCCCAGGAGGCAGTGCCAGGCCTAGGGCACAGGGACAGACCCAGGGCAAGGACTGAGAGACAGGGACGAAGCCTGGGACGTGGTCTGGGATACAGGGACTAACACCGGGATGAGGCTCAGGACACAGGGACAAGCCCCAGGACAAGGCGTAGGACAAGGGGTGAAGCCCAGGAGGCAGGGACAAGGCCTGGTACAAAGCTCAGGAAGCAGGGATGAGGCCCAGGAGGGAGCCAGGGAGAAGGCCCAGGACGAAGCTCAGCAGGCAGGGTAGCAGGAACTGGAGCGGGCATGCTCAGCAATGGCTCAGCTGGAGCGTTCCTCCTCGCTTCCAATGGTGCCCGCATCAAATAGAGAGCAGCGCAGCGGGCTTTCTAGATGTTTACACAAATATCTTCACTTAAACAGGGTCCTCAGTGAAGTCATGCGTTAACTATATATTTCATTGGTTTCACAGTGGCTTGGAGTTTGTTTAGCTTTGGGGTTTTTTTTTTGTGTACTGCAGTGTTGAAAGCCAGGCATTTGCTCAAACCTAACTCTGTTGGGAATTTTGTGAGGGCTTTAAATAAGGTTTTAACATACAGAATCATGTTCACTTGGCAGAACAGCGCTGTGTTCCCATTTGGAAATATCAAGTCTATGTTAGGTACAGTGTGAGCAGACTAAGGGCTGGTGGCTGTTGTGAGTAATTCTTGCGGTGAAAGTCCAGAAGTTACAACAGGCAATAATCTTTCCTTACATCATTTCCAAGCAAACAAAAATATCGTTCTTCCCTTATTTTGTTAGTGATGTAGGTCATCAAAAAGCTGACTGGGTTAGTATCCACGAGCGAATATGCCAGCTGCTGATTCCAATCCGTACGTCCCTCCCTTTTCTCCTTTCTGAAAAAGAAAGAAAACATGGCACGGAACAGCTGGTGAAGAGGCAGGTATGTACAAGAAAAACGAATACCACTTCAAAGTTCTGCCAGTGAGATTTAATTAGATCTCTTCTTCCTATACTTTGATGTACGTAGCATTGGGAGGGCACCTCATTGGTTGATCGGTACTTAGTTGCAGAGCTTTAATGTTTTCTTTTAAACAGAAGTTTTATAATAAGGGGAGTGGGAGCATCCTCTCTCCAAATCTACGAGCCTCTTGCCTTTTTCGCAGTTCTTACTCGAAGTCCTGAGCTTCCTCAGGCAGCGACAATCCTGGATCTCCCGCCTTGCCAGGTAGTTAGTCCACCTCCCCGGTTAGTCCGGGATCCAGCTGAGTTTTGCTTCTTACGGGGTGTCCTCATCCTTCGCTGATGAGAGGGATTCCCCTTTCTCCAAGCAAGGGGGCAAAGAAATAAAGTCCCCTCCCTTTGTTTACCTGGCCAATTTTAAACGCCCTTTCCCAGTAAGTACAGTCTTTTATCTCTGCTTTTTGGCCTCGTGGGCGGTGCAGATGTGCAGCTCCTTTCCAGCCCGCGTGGTTTTGAACTCTTTTTTTTGTTTGTTTATGGGGTAGCAGGATCTGCTTTTCCACAATGTTGATAAAATAAAATAACCCACCCAAATACATCTGCTACTTAAAATCTCACCCATAAAAATAAATTATCCTTCTATCGTTGCATAACTCCTAATCTCAGAATAACAGGACAACAGAACAGCTGAAAGGGAGCAACAATCAAACGGTGCCACTGAGAAGAACGTTAATCTTCTGGACTTTACATCATGTATTATTTTTCAGTTGTTTCTGGGCCAAGTGCTAGTACTTTGGTGACTGGCTCGTTGCTGCGGTCTTTCTTGGGAGCATCCAGAAATAGAAAGTCTAAAAGGGGTGGAACCTGCGTAGACAAAAGTCCTGCTTGGTGGAAGCTTGTGACAGGCTTCAGGCAGCAGATTCCTTTAGGCTTTGTAGGAATTAGGCGCCGACAATCCCATTTGGTTTTGAAAGTCTCATCTGTTTGAAAATCACAGACAAGATTGTTGACCAAAGTCCAAAGAAGGTGTGTTAGAACAGTATGTCCCAGAAGCCTCAGGAAAAATGCAAAAGCTCCTTTGTTCCAGATTACATTTAAGTTGACCTTTTATAAAGTCTACAAAGAAAAAAAGTTAAAATTGGTCTTATTGGAGGTGGTGGCAGGTTTTTTTTGCATCCTTAACTGCTTAAAGCTTTTCCAAGAAACTACCTACATATTGAACACTGATGTTGAAAGCATCTGTTATTACATCACTGATTTGATAGCAACTAAAATTGTGCTGTATACGTTACAAAAGACCACGTGACCGCCAGATCAAGGAAGTACTCGTTGATTAGCTGGAAGCTAATAATTTGTTTTTATTAGGTTCCAGGGAAAGACAGCAGGAAGACGGGGCTCGTGGAGAAGGGAGAGTCACTCCTCTTGATTGGAGTGCACACCTAGATTAGCAGGGGCAACTGCAAACCTCGAGCCGAGGTTTGGAATGACTTCATGGGGAAAGTCACAGAGAGCAGACTCCGATTTCTTTTCCCAAGTAAAGATTTTTATAGGATCTTTAACAACCCTGTTACATTTGTTCTTTGACCTTTGTCTCCAGACTATTTAAATAAAATAGATTCTGGGAACGGTATGTGCAGGGACACTTGGTCTTCCTTCTTTCCTAAGCAAGGAGTGGAAAAAGCGGAAACATCTTGTTCATTACCTGCTCGCTTTCACAGCAAGACTGCAGCTCCTAGCCCACAAATGAAGCCTGCCTTTACGTACAGCAAGGTATGGGGTAGGCAACGTTGTGCCTAGACTGGCTGACAAGTGTTGGAAGAGTAGTGTGGAGAGGGTGAGATTATTTACTGCCCCGTCTTGGTGGCTTTGTCACATTTCTATTTACAGAGCCAACAAAATACTTTAAAAAAGGCCTTTGGAGCTCAGGGAAAAGCTACGTAGTGTCATGACGATCGGAGAAAAAACCTTCTGCTCAAAGCCAGTGCACAGGTTTATTATTTTTTGAACATTTCTGCTGTACTTCACAAACTCCTGCACGGTGTTTGTTTAGAAAACAAAAAAAAAAACCACAGCTCGAGCCTCAGTCAGGACACAGGAAAGCTTGTGCACATCAAAATGCCCTGTGGCTTGAGGGAAGGTGCATGAAGCCGAGAGCCAGGAGGTTATGAGTTTCATACCTCGTCTGTACTCCAAAGCTTTGTTGATAGAAATCTGCTTTTGTCAACATAGCCGGGGGGGTGCCTGCAGACAGTACCTCCAAACTGACAAAACTCCAAGTTTCTGTTTGTAGAATAGCCTCACCTGCCTGCGTGATGTCAGCTTAGCGCAGCCTCTGGGTACGGGAAAAGATCCATGCCTCAGCCAGCTACAGCAGTCCTCCAGCACCGATGCTAGCCCCGCCGACTGCAGGTTTCAACTCAAACTGACTGGAAGCCTGCCTTCCTCTTTAAATCATCGTTTCTTCAAGCGCGGCCATCATTTTTGGTGCCTGTGAGTGAATAAATGAATGTGGCAGCGAACCCCAAGTGTGTTCCCAACCCCCTGCGCCCACCTGGAGCAGAGCTGGGGTCCTCAGCCTCCTCAAACCCCAACTGGGGGAAAACTGCGTGGGGGCATCTTCAGAGAAACCTCTGTAATTGCAACACACATGAAAAGAGCCCAAAGTGTGCACGTCCGGGGGCGTGGGGCTACGGGCAAGATGAAAAACAGTGCAGGGCCAAAGCTAAAGATCCCCCCAAGGCGTGTAACTGCGCAGTCTTAAATATTCAGTGCTGCAGGGCTTCTGTTGTCTCCTGCCCTTTCTTCTCCTCCTGGGAGCTGTGCAAGAGTCTAACCCTTAGCTTGTCATCACTGCAGATGTTTTAAGATAGCTTACATCATGGGAAGCAGCGATGATCCTACTGAGGAGTAAAAAAAGAATGATGCTGATCTCCAACACCTCCCCAGATGACAATCTGCTCAATACCCACGCATCAAAGCCCGTGCCAGTTGCAACAGAGAAAGAGTGGCATGGACAGAAAAGGCAGCCTGATAAATAACAGCTTTTATTGCTCCTTGCCCTGAGCATGTGCTGACTTTCTCCTGGGCACCACGTGCTCCCCCAACACAGCTTGGTTTTGGTGCGTGCCTTTTTCACTCTCTATGCTGATAGCTCAGGGGCTAGAGAGGGGATGAGCGCTGTGTTTCCCAGCTCTTGGCTCTCCTTGCTGTAGCAAGGTGCTATCTCTCTGGGGTGTGTTCTTCGAAGCTCTCATTTATCCAGAAAGGATGTCCCTTCATCTCAGCCAGGATCTCCAGGAAACACTCGCAGGCTGTCTTTGAGGTTCCCTATTCCTGTGCTGTTCTTTCACCCGTGGCATCTCTCTCTGCCTCTCTCTAAGCACTTACAGCTCAGCAAGATGCCAAAGCCTGGCCTCCAAAAGGACTAGGATTTGTTTTTTCTGCCCTCTGCTCAGCCACAGCTGTAAAACAGAGGGCAACAAAGAGGTAAAACGGTATTTTCTGCCGGCGCTCTCTGCACAGGCCTGCCCGTGCCTCCTAGCAAGAGAAGAGTGAGTGCCTTGCTGACTTACCATGGCAGCACTGCTAGGCACACCAGCAACAAGATTTCATTCCAGGCAGCTTTCCCGCTGCACCACTTGTGCGAAAAGCCGACGCAGAAGTGTTGGGAGTTGGCAACAATTATGCTGAAAGCAAAGAGAAACAGATAAATAAGCATCCTGGCTCTTTTTTGCTGGCATCCCTCAGCACGGGGTAAGGGCACAACATCTACAGTTGCCGTAGAGCTCTTGGCAATGAACAGGCATTCAAACGGAGATATGTTTATGGAGCTAGTGAATAGATCAGATGCTGCAAAGGGTGAAAAGACCAAATGCGGTGTGGACTGCTAGAAGCAGCAAAAGGCAGGAAGCAACTGTACGTACGGGAAACATTATGGATTCTGACAACAAACAGAAATCCTGCGGAAGCTGCTTGACCACCAAACCCGGCTTGGGTGATGGATATACAGGAGTGTAAGTGCATTAGGGTGTTCTGATTTTGACTGCCTTTCCAGACTCCGCGCCCAAAATACCAGGCCCAGAACCGGCCGGGAGAGGGTGGGAGGAAGCTGTAGCACCATGTGAGGAGCTCTCTCCTCGCTTCCAGACCGCGTCTCCTGCAGCTGGAGGTGTGCCATGCTGGCACCAGCTTGGCAAACCACACGCTCCGCTGCCTGCTATGAGTCACCGTTATTACCGTCAGCAAAACCCCGCCGTAGCCCCTTTGTCTGATCTTTTCTATGGTCTTGTGATGATCATTTTCTGTGCTTCACAGCTTTTATTGCTGCAGCCTTATTAGTCCTTTTTTGTAGGCGTAAAGGATTCTTCGTCTCATAAGACACCACATGACCTAAGAGGATGTCCAAAGCTGTTCCTGCTAGAAGTAGGAATGAAAGCTAGGCTCTAATATGAGAGCTTTAACTTCCATCCATTAATTACAGACACAAACAACATTACAATCACTCTTCTACAGTTTGCAAACTTGAATGTAAAAAGAGACCATGCGTTTTATTTCTCCTTATCCTTCGCTCACTCTGTCCCATTACTATGTTTCCCTGCAGAAATACATCATCGATCTCGCGTACGGCACAGCCCAGGAGTTTGTTTTGGATGGAAAGCATAAAGAAGCGCTACCTGCAGCTTTGCATGCACTGCGTTTCAGTACTGAAGTGTACGGCTCAAATTCTGTGCAATTGGTGCCTGCTTATCTCCTCTTGGCTGAGGCCTCCACTGGTAAGTATTGTCTAAATAGTAACGTTGGCAAGGGCAAGACCTCCCGTGGGTCAGGTTTCTGGTTTCCTTTTACCATTTATCAGGGAAGGACCTGCTCTGCGTTTCAACATTGTGCCATGCCTCTACCCTGCCCTGCCTCAAGGGCATTTCAGAGAGATTTGAGAAGTCACACCCTGCCCCCCTTTTTCTGTGTGGGTCTGGGGAAGAGAGATCAATGAAAGCAAATGAAATGTTTTCTCCATCGCTACCGATTCCCACAAGAGAAACAGTATGAAAATCCATTCTTTGCCTCTGTGGCTTTGTATGACTCTCAAAAGCATTACATTCCTGAGGGTGATTGGTTGCGCTCTTATCTCAGGGAACCAGCAAACATTTCTGAGGCCGTTGCATCAGAGGAGTGCCTCAGTTCATTCACAAAAGCGCGCTCTGCCTGAAGCGGAGCTTTTTCTCATTGACTGTATGCTTTATAAAAGATGTCAAATTAGGACTCTGCATGTGGAGAACTGCTCTCCTCAGCTGCAGACGTAAAGGACTGAGAAATCACTGTAAATCACTGCCATTACAGGAGTACACACAATGCTCTGCTGGCAGAACTGAGCTCTCTAAAGGATTGTCGTAAATGGTGTGGCGAGAGAAGGGAAAAAAAAAAACATGAGTAATTCTAGTGTGATAATACAGGAGTCATTAGTGGCCGCCTGTAGCTAACCTGTTTTGAACACATGTCTCAGAGATATTGAATGCAATACACACTTTCTGGCTTCTCTTGTAGCTCTAGACACTGAGCCTGTCTGTAAATTAGATTCTGAACACCTGCTCGACTAAGGAGCACTCAGGAGAAAAGTGGGGAATCCATAAACTAGCTCTCCGTCTCAAACTACGGCAAAGGATTAATGGGCAGTATTCGCTCATTTTCTGAATTAAAAAATGCTCTTTTTCCTGCTTATTTCTACGTGTCATTTCAGGTGCTGGCCGTCTTCCGGAGGCATCTAAGTATCTCTCCCAAGCTCAGTGGATTGTCCTCAGAACTCCAGACTGCAGTGCTGCTCTTCAGTATAAATTACATCGTAGTCTGGGACTTCTCTGTGCTGCTGAAGGAAACTTTGAACAGGCTTTATATCACCTGGCAAATGATGTAAGCCAACTCAAATACAGAAATGCTTCAATTTTTCTTTCTTCTCTAACACTTCCAGATCGATATGAAAACCACAGCAGACACATTTGTAATCCTGATTTTAGGTACCGAGAGGATACATGTTATGAACACCTGAACTTAGATCTGTCTAGATCTAAGACACCTGTGTATCCGTGTGTTACCAAAGTTGTGTTTTACCAGTTACCCTTATTCCCTTGAAGTGACTTATACCTTGTCTTTACTGCATGTGCTTATAAATTTATCTATCAACTTGCTTATGGTCCTGAGATGAACAGACATTCCTACCCCAAACTCATATAGTTGCCTTTTATTCAACAGATACGTTACTTTATAGTTTGGCTGTCGTTTTCCTCAGTACTTTTCTGTCAGACAGCAGTTCTCTGTCAGCCGTTATTCAGTGAATGCCTTATTTAACTATTTAAGTGTCTGGTTCAACAGCGTTTTCCCCAATTCAATCTTTTTAGCCACTAGAGCAGTCTGTCAGATTTGAAGTGGTTGTTGCCAGCTGTGTTCCTGAGGATGCTTTGCCTGTCATTTGATCCCCCAAAGGCAGATGAACACCGCGACATCCTATTTATGTCTCGTGTAGACTAAATTTATCCAGCGCAGAGTGATGTATACCCTTTACTGTTGAACTTGATAGTAGCTTTGTGTGGGCGTAAATGATGACATACAGTTGAGGAGAATTAGATCCTTTAAAATATATACAACCCTGTCTCTGCTTAGTCTGTAAACCTTTTGGGAGAGATTCCCAGCTGTGCCGTTGTTTTTTTAGGTACCCTGAATCTGGTGCCTGAAAGGGTGTCAGGTAATAGTTTTTCTGCTATTAGCAAGTCGCTGGTCTACGTCAGAGTAGCCCAAGGCCTGCCTGAACTTTGGCTGCGTGTCTGAGATCTGCTGAGAGTCACACGCCGGCTCAGAATAGCTGGAATGCACCACTGCCTTCCCACTCCCCTGGCTTTGGCCTGGGCTTCGGGGGGAGAACCAGGCGCCGGGGGCAGGACTGGAGAGCTGAAAAGCGGCAGCAGGTTGTGTGTTTGAAGACGTGAGACATACGGGTTGCACAGTGAGAGGAGGAGATGTGGGAAACCTGCCCCATGCTTCAACGGGGTAACACGCTGTGATAAGGTTCCTCTGCCCCAGCGAGCAGAGGATTTGGGGGTGTTGCATTCCTTTGCATAAAACCCAAAATTCAGGGTTTTTACTGCCACATTTTACGGTCATCATCAGGTATAACTAACGCTATAGTTACGCAGAAAAAAACTGAACGCTTGCAATATCATTAATCCGTAATGAAAAATTTCCCAGGTTTGATATGAACGTTAAACTTCTGCTTTTTTTTTTTTTTTAAATATCTATTTCAGATTTACCTTGCTAGCTCTACATTTGGACTAAAATCTATTGAGACCTCTGGAGGGTATTTCCACATGGCTAATGTTTTCTTTCGCCAGAACAAAATGGACATAGCAAACTCACTCTATGCTGAGGTTAGTAAAACCAAAGGTCATCCTCTCTATATTTCTCAGTTTTTTTCTGTGCTCTTTCCAATGTTTTTCCTGTTTAGGACTGCCTTTAATAGGATGGTGACCATGTCAAGTGCCAGCCTTTTAGGATCAGTTTCAAAAACCCTTTTCATACTTAAATATTTCTCTGAGTTAAAACCAGGGGACAGAAATTCTGTACTCGGTTAAAAATTGTTATTCAAGTTGTCTTCAATTTGGGCAGCCGAACCTTGTTAAAAAATAGCTTTGGTACCAAATACCCCGTGCCAGAGGTTAAAGAGAGTCCCACAAGCAGAGAAGGTCTCCAAGGAGTTTCCATAGCCAAGGAAGAGTCGTTGAGCAGCAATGGAATACAAGCAAGCCACGTAAAATTTATGCTGAGAATCAATGAAAAGTCACGCTGATAAGAGATTGTTAGAACAGAATGATCAAGCAAGGGAAGTAACAATGACCTAATCACTCTAATAACTGGAAAAAATTTAGCGTGTTTGTTTAGCTTGATTTTCTGTGGAAACGAGGCTTTGGCAGCTCTGCAATCTGCCTCCATTCCCCTTGCAAACTTCAACCAAATTTGCTTTTGGTTAACAATTTAGTTAGGTTTATTCAAGTTTGATGAAAATGAATAGTCAGATGGAGACGTGAGCTTCCAACTAAGGCTGCTGCTGGGAGACGAGCGGTCAAATCTCTACGTGAAACATCCAGCTTGGCAGCAGCCAGCTCACTAACCAGCAGGCACTCCGGTTATTGTGGTAGGGACGTGCATTGCAGGACACATTGTTTATAGAACAACTAGTTGCTAAATACCATGTATTCATACAAGTGAAATAATTCATTTGCTTCCTGATAGGTAACCGACATCTGGCATGCCTTTTTGGTGAAGTCAGTTCAAGCGCAGGAGCAAATTCTCAAGTCACGACCGGAAATGTCTCCGTTCACCGAGGACAAGGAAGTCAGCGAAGACCATATGAGTAAGCACCGCTATTACGCAGAACCGTTTGGAAGACGGGATTTTAAAGAATCCGTACATCCCACTGTTCGTATCTACGGCGTTGGGTTTTGCGTGGCATTTCTGTAGACCCAATTTAATCGGAATCACAGGTATTTCTGATGTTGATCCTCAGTGGATTGTGCTGGATGAAACAAACGGGGCCACTTTAGGAATGAGGGTGTTCAAGTGGAAGCACAGCCTTGCCCTTTTTATTTACGTGCTCCTTTTCACAGCGCCCTTGGCAGTGACAAGATTTTGCCTTTCAGGATCCAATTCCACTTCAACATTCTCATTTCTCTGCAGCTCCTTTGTCTCCATTTAATTATGTGAGAGTGACATTTCATCTCACTTAGGCAGGTTTACAGCTCTGTCTTCTGAAGCAGTAGGACACGATGGAATAGCGTGTACTGATAATTGGATGTAATAATCTGGAGAGAATACTCTGGGGAGAGAAACTGGGGAATCTCTCACAAGGACATAAAGGTGCATAAAGCATTAGGAAGTACGCTAGTGTGCATGGTACTACCCTACGCTCCACTGAAGTCAGGCTAGACTCTGGTCCTTCTCTTCTTTCTACCATGTATGCTAATAAGAATATTGTCAGAAAAGAGAAATGTTTCTGTAAATCCTTTTACCTGGCATTGTCTCCATCCAGTAGGAACCACACCAAGACAGGGCAGCACGATACCATCTTCGGTTATGACAGGAGCATGAAAGCTGCTCTTTTCATGCAGCTGTTATGACTCCACATCCTTACTAAAGGCTAATCAACACAATTACTGACTGGATGAAAAGATATCTGTTAATGGGTATGGAATTTGCATGGAGCTGGGATACCGCGTTGATGCTTGTAGCCGAAATGCTTTGATGTCTAGAAGAGATAATTGGACAGTTTTGAATATATTATCTTGCATGCATACATACATCCAACAAGATTATTTCGTTCTCGATGCAGCTGAAGCCCAGCAAGCAGAAGCAATCCGAGTACTGAATGCGGTATTAGATATCAGAGAACGGGCACCAAAGCAACAACCTGGGGAAACCGCCAGAGTTTTGCATGCTCTTGCCATGCTTTATTACCTGATCATGGATTTATCAAAGGTGAGTTTCGTCTGGTGAAAGGGTCCGGGAGGGTTGCCTCACTCTGTTTCGGTGCTCGCCCCATCTCATGAAGCCGGTCGCCTGCGTTCACCTGGCACCTCTCCTGAGTCCACAACAGCCGTGCAGCGCTGGGTGTCAGAGGACAAAGCTGCCTCAGCAGCTCTGCATGTAGCCAGCTCGCGATCTGCGCCCTGCCAAGGCTGATAAAGCTCCCTGGATCTGTTTTGCTCTCTGCCAGGCCTTCCACAGTGGATCCTGTAGTTATCCATGTTTTCTGGGTTCGCCCTTTATCTGGGATATCCTGGCAGTGTCGCTGCCTGTCGCAGGCTGTGTTTAGACATCAGGTCAGATGTTATGCTGCGAGCAAGACACAGGCCTTGCACGTGTCTCTCCTTGAGCCAGACTCCTGTAATTACCATTATATTAATGTAGGCTCACTCTGTTGGACCCCGTAATTCAGTTTTGAATTTGCACCCCTGTATTTTTATGGCTAAAAATTTCAGATGCGACTGCTAACTTCAGAGTGCCCAATTCTCTGCCTTCAAAATCATTGATTTTGAGGAAGTGCTGAGCAGTAAACATCTGGAAATCAGGCCTCTTTGTTCGGGCTAAGTACTCAAAAGCCCGAGTTTCTTCTGCCTGTGTTTTGGAGGGTGAAAATACAGATTACTAATGGTCTCTTCATTGTATCAGAGAAAGCCGTAATGATGTGAGTCAGTGTTTGGAAGACACAAAGAAACAAATGCAAATTAGAAAAAAGGCACAGCTTTATAATTGTGAGAATGTCTAAACCCTGGAAGACCTACCAAGGGAAATGAGGGGTTTAGTTCAGACTGAGTCAATACAGCTGTTTTTTTTCCTGAAATAGCTTTGGGAATGTTCAGATGAGCTGCTGTATTAGATGGGAGGTAATGATCTCCAGCGCGGGGGGCTGGGGTTAGTAATCTCACCTGTCTGCACCACTGGATCCTAAATATGATATCTGTTGGCAGCTTTACTCTCTCCTGTAAAGCAGCTTGTGCAGGTCACCCTCTGAACAGGCGGCTGAGTGGCTGGAGCCTGGATCTGCTCCAGTGCAGCTATTCCAATGAGCCTCTGCAGGTATTTTAACTACCCCTTGAGAAAAGCCAAATTCCTGACAATTACCTCGTCTTCTCTGTTTCTGTTCTGTTTCGTTCCAGGCTCGTGAGGTGGGGATGAAAGCCTTTGACCTGGTGAAAGAACTGCCCCAACGCGAGTCTCTAGAAGCCATTGGTCATTTGTTAAAGTTGATTAACAACAAGCCTTCCTACACAAAATAAAGAACTCTTTCTACCAGAGCCGGGTGTTCGGCTAGGTTATCTGTTTAACTAGGTTGCTGAAAGCAAAAAGCATTACAAGCTGTAGGTCCTTTCTGCTGCTGTCATCTTTCCAGATGTGTCCCCTTCTGTCTCAAGGCATTTGAAAATTAAACTTTTTGGTATGAGTTCATTTTCACGTGCTGATCAACCTCTGTAGGCTGTAACGGAATAACAGCGTGAGGGTAGGAAACAAAAGCGTCACCAACACGCGATGCATAAATCATTGTCTAATGATTTATGAATAAGCAAACAGCTTCTTACGTCCTCACGTTGTCTGTCCAGAAGCTAAGACCAGCTGAGATGTGTTTGTAACTGGTTTCCTCAATTTGCCTTTCCGTTTGATGAGGGAGATACCAGGAAGGGATGCAGGAGGGACACGGGGAAGGTCTTCGCTGCACACCTAACTTGGCTGGTTGACACCTGCTCCTCAGGACCTGGTTGGGCTTGATCAGGGGTTGCCCCTCTCTGCAGTGCCCCTCCGTCTCCAAATCTACCTCCTCTCTTTTTGCAGAGCTTTAGAGGACTCTCGTAGCTCTGGGAACCGAGGGACTCGCTCGTTCCACTCGTGGAAGAACTTACATCCAGGAAGGGACCACGAGAACACCATGAGCAGTCTTGAGGGAAAGGATTAAAAGGCCAGCTAGCTCCAATCAGAGCTTCTGACCCAAAGGAGATGCGGTTTCCTCACGGCTGAGAGCTCGCCAGCGCGTAGACATCCTGTTAACTCCGACGCCAACCTCGAGAGGAGGAAGTCCCTTGTGTCGCCGTGTGCTTCTGCCCGCAGCCCTCCGCCGAGCACGCTCCCGACCCGCAGCTCTGACGGGCTTCTGCCCTGGAGAGCAGAGGGAAGACGGGCAGGGCAGAGGGTACGCGTGACCCTCGGTGTGGGGGTGAAGGGCTAGAGGAGACCCCGGGAGCGCGAGACGGGACACGGTCTGCGCGGTGAACTCGGTTCAGACACCGAAGCATGTGACAGCCTCGCACCGCTGGGAAAGAGGTTAAGGGAAACTTGCCCTGCTGCTAAGGTCTGAATTCAGCTGAGCTTTAAGCCTACGATTAAGTCTCATTTACTTCAGGAGGATTTATGAGTGCATTTAATTGCCTTGCTGAATTGGGATGGAGTCAAGTACGCTTTTTAAACGCTTCGTCAAGCTGGGACCTGAGCAATTAGAAGGGATTGATGCTGCTGGTAAAGGGAAAGCCTCCGCTTCAGCCAGTTCGTTACTCTGGGGGGGGGATAGTGCTGGTCAGGGTGCACAAGGGGCCCCGTGGCAGACGCGGTTGGGGGACGGGTGGGAGACCTCCGAATACTCCTACAGGAGACAACGGTGGACACGTCCACCCTCATCAGGTCTCGCCACGGACCGACCACCTCCGCGGGACTGGGAACACAGTGCGGGGACTGCGCCCGCTGGCACAGTGCCTCGGGGCGCGGAGGATTTGGGTCACCGTGGCCGGGGATTTGGAGCTGTGGGCTCGACCGCGGCGGTAATCCCTCGGGCCGCTCTGCAGCCAGGCTGAGCCTGCCTGACGTGCCAGGCCAGCGGCTCGGTGTCACCGCTCCTGGCTATTCAACACCATAAAAGAAGGTGTGAAAATTAACTTCGCGTCTCCAGGAGCGGTGACGGGCAAGGGCTGGGAATGGAAACGTTAGCGCAGACAATGAGAAGAGCCCTGGGCAAATAAAGAACATTTTTGGGAGCTCTGAAAGATTTTACGAGAGTTATTTCCTACGACACGCTGCAACAGTCATCTCCAGCGCGTGCACTTCAGGGCAAAAAGCTGTTTCAATAAATAGAAAAAAGCCTGAAGTGACCAAGATCAGCGTTTCTTTGCCCGAAAGTGTTCAGACTTGCAGCTCCTGGCACCTTG